TTTGGAGTAAATCCTGATTTTATCAACAGAGAGCAGTTTCTCCCGGGTAGCTTCCCTCCCTCCACATATAAAACATAGTAGGAGTGGTTTCATTTTAAGAATTGGGTGCATCTGGAATCATTGGAAAGACTTTTCACTGCATTTTATTATGAAGATGAGTAAGAATCATTCTTGGCTTTGTGGATTTCTGAAGAGTTGCCAGTCTCAGTCACTCTGTGGGGTGAGGGTGAGTTGTGTTTTCAGACTGTTAACCTGTGGAGGAAACAACGATGAACTTCACCGTGCTGTGTAACACGCTATCCTGAGGGGCTGCATGTGGTACTGGTATCCCATGTGGGAAGCCTTCCCAATCCCAGCTCTTCACTTGCAATCCAGCTCCCTGCTAATGAGGCTGATAAAAGTAGCAGAAGATGGCTCGAGTGTTAGAGCCCCTGCACCCACGTGAGAGACCAGGAAGAAACTCCTGGCTCCTGGCTTTGGACTGGCCCAGCTCTAGTCGTTGTGGCCATCTGGGGAATGAACCAGCAAATGGAGGCTCTCTTTCTCTCTGTCGCTCCTTCTCCGTCAGTAATTATGCTTTCCAAATTATTCTTTAAAAAATAAAGCTGGCTTGGGCCCGGCGCAGTGGCGCAGTGGTTAAGGTCCTCGCCTTGCACGCCCAGGATCCCATATGGACGCCAGTTCTATCCCGGCAGCCCCGCTTCCCTTCCAGCTCCCTGCCTGTGGCCCGGGAAGGCAGTCGAGGACGGCCCAAAGCTTTGGGACCCTGCACCTGCGTGGGAGACCCAGAAGAGGCTCCTGGCTTCGGATCGGCATAGCATCGGCCGTTGTGCTCACTTGGGGAGTGAATCATCGGACGGAAGATCTTCCTCTCTGTATATCCGCCTTTCCAATAAAAACAATAATAATAATAATAATAAATCTTTAAAAAAAAATAAAGCTGGCTCGAGTAAGTGTGGCCCTCATAATGGACATGAAACAGATGGTGCTGTACCGAGTACAGCTGAGTAAAGTGACTGACCATGTGACCAGGCAGCCTCGGAGCACTGACAGCTGGCTGTGGGAGGCGGGGCCTTGTGTCCAGAGTTTCTTTTGAGGGAGCCTTACAGAGAGAACATGATCCTTTGCTTGGAGAGATCAGCTGGGCTTGATGGCATGGTGCCTGTCCTTACTGTCTGTCTCCTTGTGGTGATGAACACTAGATTTTGGAATGGCTTGATGTAGTGGAAAGCGAACCTGATTTTCTGTCCTGTCGGACTTAAAACATTCTGTGCTTTTCTCTAGGCTCCGTCTTGTCACGTGAGCACGTTGATATATCGCTGAATGTCACAATATTGATCACGGTGACTACCTGTCTGAGAAGCTGTGACTTGAGATGTCAGAGGCTCCATGAACTCTTCTGCCTGAACAAGCCCTGATGAAGCCCGGGGGCGCAAATGTCAGGGGACTCAGGCCAGGCATCAGGAGCCATGTGGGCGGAGCAGCGCCTGACAGATGGACTAAAGGGGGCGGTGCTAGCCCACAGGAGGCTGGCTGCATTGGCCTGTTGTTTATAGGAAATACATGAAGGAGAGAAGATAACAAGTGAATCACTTTCCCTCCCCCCACCTTCCTACTGTCCTTTCTAGAATGTGTTCTTGTTTCCTTCGTTTTTGCCCTCTCTTTTGACGGTAGTTAATTTATTAGTGAATGATGAATGACCAGTCTGTGAAATTAAACCTTTTCTCAAAGCTTTGGGATAATGTCCCGAGATAATGAGCTGCGTTTAGTTTTCTCTTACATACAGAAACCTTGAAAATATGAAATTGTTTATGCTGGTGTAATTTCATTAATGACCCACAGAAGTCATGCTTTCTTTGTTCATAACATTATAGTAGAACTATAGGCTCATGCCCTTGGCAATGAGAAGACAGCGTCTGTGCAGAGGCCACAGAGAACTGTGCTGCTCCCCCAGTAGAAGGTATACCACACGAACATGACAGCCACACCCTGGCTGTTGCTTGGAACAGGTGCTGACCTCGGTCAGGACCCCAGGGAAGCGAAGTGAGCACTGGGTTGACCAGCAGCGGCAGCAAGGCTGGGTCGTGGGGCCTTGCAAAGTCGGCTCCCAGGAGCTCATCTGTGTTTAAGTCAGAAAACAGTGTGCTTCCCCAGACCTTGTGATTTAAACAAAAAAAAAAAAGCCCAGACAAGCCCTCACTGCACGCTTGGTGTTCTCATCTTCTGATGAGCAAGCAAGGAGCAAGAGGCCGTGTGTTTCTGAGCAGCTCTTTGAAATATCAGATCTGCCCTGTAACAAAAACTTTGCGCCAAGTCTTATGATCTGAACCTCATCCAATCTGCACAGCTCTTTGTGTCTCCTCCACCCCTCTCTCTCTCTCTTTCTCTTTTTCCTCCTCCTCTCAAGGGCTAATGTGAGTCTGCCAGTGTTTTGATCCTGTTTCCCCTCTCGGTTGCTCCAGGCTTCTGCGGCTTTGTCTCAGGCCCTGGGGAAGGAACAGTTGTGAATGCCTTGTGACTCACTCGACACCCACTCTTCGGGCTCTGATTGGTCGTCACCTTGCCCTGGCCATATGGCTGAGAGAGCTCCAGTCCACATCCCTTGCTGAGTCTGTCCCCGACTGTCGCCTGCAGTCACCCATTGCACCAGGAACAGGGTCCCTGCTTTGTCACCGCTCCTCCTTTGCTTCAGCTGGGCAGTAGGAGGAGAGCCCACTGTATTTCCTCAGGATGGCTGGAAAGGAGAAAGATACTCTTTGCTTTTGTGCCTGTGTAGTAATTAAGTAGCCTCTTGGGCTGTTTTTGTTCAAAGTTGAGTTTGGGGAGGCAGGCATCATGTTTGTGCTGTGTCATTCCCCAGCCCCGGGATTCCCTCCTGCCTGTTGAGCTGAATTTTCTTAAGGGCTCTCAGAATGCCTCTCTCTGTCTGCCCCTGCCGCCCTGCAGCTTGTTCATTCATAGACAGATGTCCAGTAGGGAGGAAGACTGAGAGCAACTCCAAATAATGATTTAATTTTTAAATGTCTTTGTGTTCTGGCAGTCACCAAGCAATAAGGTGCCCGTGCGGCCCCCAGGATTGTCCAGAGCAGCACTGCCGTTCCTCTTGGAAAGCACAGCGGCTCACTTGCTCTGCCTTGAACACTTGAGAAATTGAAGGCTTGAAAGTGAATTTTCCTAAGTCTTTGGGTATTCTATTAATTTACATTTTGATTATTCAGTCAGTGGTCTCTGCAAAGATTTTGGACCCTGCATCCATTTTTGTTTTAAGTGTTTGCTCGAAGAAAAAGTAATTGCAGAGCGTATCAGATAGCAGAATTGGTTTTCCCCGCAAATTGGCCTTTACAGGCTATTTTCTTTGTCTAAAAAGAGTCAATAATAAAAATTCTCTCAAGAATGAATTTTATATTGTCACAAAGGCTTTCAGAGCATATTTTATAAATAATGTTAAGTGCATAGCCTGCGGGTGTGGATTCTTTGGAGACACAGATGGCGAAGTTAGTTGGAGCCATCAGTAGGGATTAGAAGATTCACAGGGCCCTGTGGTTCCAGTGAACCCCTGATTTAAATCTGTGTTCACTTCCTCTGTGGGCTGTTTTTGTCGGGGATGCACACCTCAGCTAATGAAGTCAGCAGGACGCAGATGGAAGAGGGTTCTCACTCTCCTGGCACTCCTGGCTGCTCCTCCCCGACCCTCCTGACCCTCCCGACCCTCCTGCCCCTCCTGCCCCCCCACATCACCCTGCTCTCCTGCCCCCTCCCCCTGCTCCCCACCTCTCCTGCCCCCTCCTCTCCCCTCCTACCCTCCTTGTCCCCCTGCCCTACCTGCCCCTCTTGCCCCTTCTGCCCCCCCCTCCTGCCCTCTGTCCCCCCCCCGTCCACTGCCCCTTGCCCTTGCCCTCTGCCCCCCCCCGTACCCCTTCCCTCCTTCCCCCCTTGTCCCCCTGCCCCACCTGCCCCTCCTGCCCCTCTGCTCACCCTGCCCCCCACCCCCGGCCCTCCTGCTGCTGTGGGACACAGGTGCTCTCCAGGCCTGTGGCTGGTCTTGGGTCCCTTCCCTTCCCTTCCCGTGCTGCAGTGGGAATAGACGCAGTGAACAGCTGAGACGCTCCCTTCAAGGCGCTCACATTCTGTTCTGTGAGGATGGGTTATTGTAGAAAGGAAAGATTCCCTAACACATTTTTCCATGGCTTTGACTAAAGCCTAAAAAGTTCAAGGAAACTTAGCTTTGAATTTCTGTCCATGTGACTAATCCCCGTTCTACCAAAATAAATGTTTGTGTTTGTACAGATCCTGTCCTACACATGAGTTACACAAGTCAGTCATTTGAAAAAGTCTTATTTATTAATTCCTTGCTTGAGGTCAAAGTTTCATTGTTTAAAATTTGTTTAATGGTTAAATTGGGATAGATGCATGATGTTCGATTAATAAAAATCTGTATGGCTGGTGTGTTTGTCAGATGCAAAATAATCACAGTAATAGCCAACAATGTGCTAATCCAGTTCTAAGTCCTTTGCAATTATTAGGTCATTTTGTGCTCCTAGGAATCCTAGGAATCCTGCTAATCACCTCATTTTATGCGATGGAACATTGAGGCCCAGGCAGGTTAAGAACCTGCGCAACCTCACATGGCTAGCTGAGAAGTAGCAACGCTGAAAGTGGAGTTGGAGTGGTCAGGCTGCAGGCTGGGCTGTCTGCTTCTGTCTGTACCAGTCAAGCTGACACACAGAGCGAACGGGTCCAGACACCAGGGCTCTGCTGAGTGCGCTCCATTCCCTTTGCTTTCATCTGTGGGCCTTGGTTCCATTACATATAAAATATTTCATACAGCACCAGTTTCATATTCACTGTAAATAGCTGGTAAGTACTTTGAACTCCTCATGTAGAATATGTGTACATTTTAGATGCGGCAAGTCTGAAATGAAGCTAATGATAGACGAAGTGTCAGAGAAGTATAACTTTTATACTAATAGATTTGATTTCTCTTTGTTCTCATTTGATAGAAAAGAGTAGTTGAACAGCTACGGAAGAACTTGATAGTGAAACAAGAACAACCAGACAAGTTCCAAATCCAGCCATTGCCACAACCTGAAAACAAACTACAAACAGCACAGCAACAACCACTCCAGCAGCTCCAGCAGCAGCAGTACCACCACCACCACGCCCAGCAGTCGGCCGCACCCTCCCCCGCCTTGACTGCTTCTCAGGTACAGTGTGGAGATGTGGTCACAGGCCTTCTCTGTATGGTTCCTACGGACACAGGGCCATGAGGGTGGCTTGACTCGTGAAAACTAGTGTGGCAGTGGGCTCTGTTGTCAGAGGCAAGCCAAGCATGCTGGTGGACCGATCCCATGACAACGTATTGGCCGGGGAAGGTTAGTGACAGTGGAAACGTGCTTTCTGAACATTAATTCTTGAATGATTAGATGTGTTTATTTGCAAAAACTCATTCTGAAAGTTTGTGGGACTTGATGTCTTCTAGAATTGTTTTTCTAGAATTCACAGTTCACACAGATTCCTCCAAGACCATTGAAATGAAAAAAATGCCTGTTCGTACTTACTCACTTGTCAGGCATCTCAAAGTCTATAGGTTCTTCTGATTCCTGGGCACGGGCACTTGGCCCTCAGCAGCACCATGTCTTCACACTTGATCTTCTCCGTGTCTTTACAGTGAGAGTGGAGAGTTGTAGTTCACTATTAATAGACATGGGGTGGCTCATGTACAACACTCGGGAAGTGAGTGAATTATTTATGATATACCAAAGATAGTTAACCTTCAGTAGAAGTGACTCTAGATTGGCAGTCTCCCACGTTCATCCATAAGAGCCTCCTACTATCCCCAATCCCATGAGAAAGGTGATATTGCTATTTTTATTTTCTAGAAGAGGATACATAGGGCACAAAGAGGTCAAATATTTTACCTAAGATGGTATAAACATTGTGTGGTGGAGCCAAGACTTGAACTCAGCTGTTCTGAAGTATGTCCGCTCAGTTTGTCTCTTATGTTGACACATAATACCACAATGCCCACACCATGTGCAACCACAGAAACAAAAACATTGTAAAACACATACTATAGAGCCGGGTATATGGCATTTATCCTGAGCTTTAGCCTGAGGCTATTTAGAAAGTACACACTTAATACTGACTTTGAAAGTCCCCTGACCAAGACTTGTATTGCTTCTGAAAGATTTCAGGATTACTTTCTTTAAAGTTTATTTATTTGAAAGTCAGAATTAGGGAGAGGCAGAGAGGGATTTTCCATATGCTGATTCACTTCCCAAGGGCAGATCCAGGAGCCAGGAGCTTCATTGGTGTCTCCCCCATGTGTAGCAGGGACTCAAACAGTTGGACCATATTTTGCTGCTTTTCCCAGGCCACTAGTAGGGAGCTAGATTGGAAATGGGGCAGCTGGGACATTAACTTGGATCCTTAGGGATGCAGGCTCATAAGCAGTGGCTTTACCCACTGTACCACAAAGCCTATAGAGTCAGGTTAAGTTGTTCTCTTTGCAAAGTATTGCTTAATTAGAAAGCATTCACATAGTGGAGGTGCAGTGCCATAGCATAGTGGGTTTAGACTCTGTGATGCCAGCATCCCATATCAGTGCCAGTTCGAGACCCATACGCTCCACTGCTAATGTGCCTGGGAAAGCAGCAGGGGAAACCTTAAGTCCTTGGGCCTCTGCTCTCTTGTGAGAGACTCAGAAGACGCTCCCTTCTGGGAGACCTGAAAGAAGCTTTCTGCCTTTCAAATAAAAATATATAAACCTAAAAAGATGTGTTCACATGGCATACGGTAGAACAAATTGTTTCCTGGTACATGGGAGTCTTCTCCCTTAACTGGAAAAATTCTCTGTGTAAGTATCATCCAAGGCAGTAGCTATAAATGCTTGTAACAGCTGTTTCTTTCCACGGGACTCTTGAGTTCTAGCCCAGAGCCTGATGCTGTCCCCAGACAGTGTTATGACACAGTGCCTCCCCACCTGGTGGCCCGCCTGGATATACTTCATTGATGTAGCCAAACACTGGTTTGTCTAATGAAACATTTAATGCTAAAAGATGTAAGATCGATCCTCTAGGTGTTTTGGTTTTTGTCTTCACAGTAGACTATTAATCAATATGTATTGAATGTTATCTTGATGCTAGATTCTGCTATACAAGGAGAAATGGTCCCTGGCAAGATTCTGGCATGTCATGATCATTTAATTTTCATGAATTCTGTAAACATTTACTGAGGCCCTACTGTGTACAGTATTGTGTAAGGTATTATAAAGGATAGATTCACTTATAATAAAATGAAGACTATTTTTAAGAATTTAAAGCATATAGGAAGAGAGAGGAGGAGACAAACTGCTAACTAGAATGAAAGTGCCGGTCAGCAGGTCTGAAAATACCAGAGGACAGCGTGTTTGACCAGACGAATGAGGAGGATTGCCCAAGGAGGTGGCATTAGGTCAGGGCCTTGCCAGGGAATGGGATTTCAGAGGTGGAGCAGAGGTGGAAAGCGTCTCAGGTAGAAAGAATGGTGTAAGCACAAGTGTGGTGCCAACAAAGGACGTGTGCGACTGATGTTGATCAAGGCACCACTTGAGATGCCTGCTGCCACAGCAGAGTGCCTGCTGGAGTCCCAGCTGTGCCACTTCCTGTCCAGCTCTCTGCTCATGCTCCCGGGAAGGCAGCAGATGATGCGTGAGTGATGATCCCTGTCATCCACATGGGAGACCTGGAGGAGGTCTTGGCTCCTGGGTCAGCTTGGTCAGCTCCACTTGCTGCAGCATATGGCGACTGAACAGATATCTTGCCTCTCTATCTCTGCTCTCTCCCTCTTTCTCTCTTTTTTTCTTTCTACCACCCTGCCTTTCAAGTAAATAAATTCTTTAAAAACGTACATGCATGCCCAGGAGTAGCAAGTAGGCTGATGTGCTGGGGTCCTGGATTCCATGAAATAGAGGACAGGCAGAGAAGACAGACAGACAAGAAGGGGCTGGCCAGTGGTAGGAGTGCCCACATGTACCAGAGCACCAGAGGGAGGCCTTTAAAGGACAAATGGGTGTTTGTGCACGGGATGCAGTAAACATGTTACTTCAGAAGAAGTAATTGTCAAGCAGCAGATGAGCGGTGAGGGATGCTGGGAAGAGAGTTATTCTGTCAGGTGATTGGCTCTGGGCTCCTGGCTTCAGCTCAGCTCAGCTCTGGCTGCTGCAGCCACTTGGGGAGCGAATCATCAGATGGAAGATCTTCCTCTTTGTCTCTCCTCCTTTCTTTTTTAAAAAAAAAATATTTATTTATTTTTATTGCAAAGTCAGATATACAGAGATGCGAAGCAGGGCTGTCGGGATTAGAACCAGCGCCCATTTGGGATCCCAGCACTTTCAAGGCGAGGACTTTAGCCACTAGGCCACTGTGCTGGGTCCTTCTCCTCCTTTCTGTAGATCTGACTTTCCAGTAAAAATAAATAAGCTTAAAAAAAAAAAAAGAATAGAACAACTGAATACAGACACACTCTTTTAACCTGGATTAATAGCAGTCTTGTTTTTAGTGATACAATGTAAGTATAAAAAGAGTATAGTTGATAAAACCAAGCAGCAGCCAAACTCTGCTGGACAGGGTGAGGGTTGTATTTGTGGTTGAGTATCTAACAGTTTCTGAACAAAATATTCTTAAATAAAATGTAGAGCTTAATTGGACCCCATGGGAACAATCCTTCCAAGTTCCGATTTATGCGTTGGAGTCCATATAGTTTTAAGCCAGTATCTCACATTTAATTGGTATAGTCAAAACAATTCAGGATTTTGTTATGGATACTACTGTCCATGTCTGTGTTAGCTTGTGGCTCGTGAAGGAACCTCCATGCCACTGTGCCGATCACGTTTGGACAGCATCACTAGCAGAGAGTTAACCATTGCTTCCATCAAAATAATTGTCTTTGCTGTTGGGTACCTCTCTCCTGCCTTGCTCAGATTGTCCAGATGCAGTCATTAGACTTGGATTTCAAAGTTGTAGGTTTTCTTTGTTATCTAAACCCTAACACTCCAAGAGTTGAGCTAGTGTGTTCCCTCTTACTTGAAACAGAAGCAGCAGGAGGCCCAGAGCAGAGAGCCATCCGGTGCTTTTGTCCTGGGACCAGTGACGTATTAGTAAATATGTTGTTCAAAACGTTTTCATCAAAACATGTGGCACTCGCCTTGGGTCTGTGTGTCCAGGGTTACATAGATGTGATGATGCAGAGAGTAAAATCAGCCACAGCTAAGCATCTGTGAAGTAAAATTAAAATGCTAAGATACAGACCTACCAGGTGGAGTGCTTTTTAAGTGTCAGTTAATGGTAAGTATATAATTCAGTTGAGTTTAAGTTTTGATTCCATATTTTCATAGCTAGTAAGTTTAGAGCTACTCAAAATATTGGTAAACATTTCCTTGAACCAAAAGTTTCAATCATGCATGTATTGACCTCTCTAAAACCACAGCAAAATGCACAGCTGTGAGGTCCATGTCAGTGAGTTCTGCTGACCACAGCTTCTATCTCCACAGCCCAGGCTTGTGCCAGCGTTGAATGCCATCCAATCTGACTTGGTCCCACGTCAAAAGTGTTCTGTATATGAATGTTTTAAATTGAAAGAAAGGGCTGATACCACACTGTGTTAAAAAAAAAAATACTTGTTACAAATAGTTGCTAGCATATAGTTAGCCTGGGTTGTATACTTTTCTAATGGTAAATAGCTCACTTTTTACAAAAGATTAATTTGAGAGGCAGAGTTAGAGAGAGGGGAGGACAGAGAGAGGTCTTCTTCCATCTGCTTCTGATGGTTCATTCTACAAATGACCAGAATGGCCAGAGCTAGGCCAGGCTGAAGGCAGCGGCTGAGAGCTTCTTCCCGGCTGTCCGCACGCTGCAGGGCTCCATGCACTTGGACTGTTCTCTGCTGTTTTCCCAGTGCTTTAGCAGGGAGCCGGATCAGAAGTGGGGCAGCTGGGGACATGAACCAGGGCCCATGTGGGATGTTGACATGGCAGGCATTGGCTTAACTTGCTACACCACAAAGCCAGCCCAGCATTTAACTTTTATTGTCATCACCGATACAAAATAGACAATCTGCTACCACCCCCCAAAGTAAATACCACTGTGACCCCTCTCCCAGTTTAGCATTACAAGAAATAGTGGCACAGAGAATAAGCCACCTCTGTGTTACTGCCTCAGAAAAGAGGAAGCCAAGATTTGGGCTATGTTATTTGTGCATATTAATAAGGGTTGCTGATTAGGCTATGATGGAATAAATGAGACTAGCTCATTAAAATTTTTTTTGTTTGTTTAAAAGAAGGCTAAAGGATATAGAAAGATTAGATAATATGTTTGGGGAAGGCAGACATTGGAAGTATTGCCCACAACCAAACAGCCTGGTACAAGACCTGAGTGCTCTCCACTGAGCTAGCTAGTTACTAGGTAACTAGTAGCCGTATGGGGCATTTGAACCCTTCAAATGTGACAAGTTCAACTGAGAAACATGTCTTCGTTTCATTTTGTTTTAGTTAATGGAAGTGTGAGTAGGCAAATGTGGCTAGGAGCTCCAAAGGCATGTGCTGGAGTGGCATCAGAACCAGAACCAGCAAGTTGGACCAGACACATTGTCAAACTCCTGAGATGCCCACACCCCAAGTGTGATAGCACTGGACAGACGTGTGCCATGTGGAGGTTGTTAGTTTTTCTTGTTTGGTCGATGACTCCTTTAATTATTTCAGTACAAGTCTCACCTCACTCAATTTGCCCTCAGCTGTCTGAGGCTTTGGAAACTCATGAGTTGTTTCTGCGTTACCAGGTCTCACTGTGTCTTTGATCACTTGTGCAGCAGTTCCCCTGAGAAGAGGTGATAGGCAGTGACTCACACCCCTCTGATATCAATAACTGTGTGTGCTATAGTAGCGCACTAATAGGTTTTGTTATCTGGCATTGGGGATTTATGGCCTCAGAAGCCATGGTTGTGCTAATCCTCATGGGAGTTTTCCATCCTTCTCTCCAGAAAACGCCAAAAAAAGAAAAAGAGAGAGAGGGGGCGGGGAGAGAAGAAGGAAGGAAGGAAGGAAGGAAAGAAGGGAGGGAGGGAGGAAGGAAGGAAAGGAAAAACCAGAAGACCCTGTTTTTTACCCAGCCTATGGCACATGACAAAATTTGCGTGCTTTCTTCCCGTTGGGGAGGTTGTAGTGATTACAGGTAGAGATGCTTTGTTCCTTGCACATAAATTGAGAACCAGTGAAGAATGAGAAAAGTGGAAAGATGTACATATACTTCTGTTCTTTAACTCCCCCTCACCTCATTGGTTGTTGAACATCTGTGCTTGTGTTAGTCTATAGCTACTACAATGAACTTGGCCAGTTACCCATGAAGCTAGTTTAAGAAATGTAGCAAATTAGGGCCTGGCGCAGTGGTCTAGTGGCTGAAATCCTCACCTTGATAGCGCTGTGATCCCATATGGGTACCGGTTCTAATCCCGGCAGCCTTACTTTCCATCCAGCTCCCTGCTTGTGGCCTGGGAAAGCAGTTGAGGACGGCCCAAAGCCTTGGATTCCTGCACCCATGTGGGAAACCTGGAGGAGGCTCCTGGCTTTGGATCAGCACAGCACTGGCCATTGCGGTCACTTGGGAGGTGAATCATTGGACGGAAGATCTTTGTCTTTCATCTCTGTGTATCTGACTTTGCAACAAAAATAAATAAATATTTTTTAAAAAAAAAGAAATGTAGCAAAGCAGATATGGTTTTCTCCTGAATAAGAAACATTGTTACACTGAGAAACTCTGAGTTATTGCTTTGTTTTCTTCCAGGATTTAGTAGCATACTGTTGAGGGGATCACATTTCGTTATTGTAATACCTGTTCTCCGTGTTTCCCAGAAGACTGTAACCACAGCTTCTATGATTACCACAAAGACACTACCTCTCGTCTTGAAAGCAGCCACTGCTACCATGCCAGCCTCTGTCGTGGGCCAGAGACCTACCATTGCTATGGTGACCGCCATCAATAGTCAGAAGGCTGTACTTGGCACCGATGTCCAGAACACGCCAGTCAACCTGCAGACGTCCAGTAAGGTCACTGGGCCCGGCACGGAGGCTGTCCAAATTGTGGCAAAAAACACGGTCACTCTGGTAAGCCAGCAACTGTTAAGAACGGGTGGCCACGGGCGAGGGCTCAGGATATGCATTTGTAGCTCCAGGGTCGCATCCCTGCTTGCTGCTCAGATAACTTGAGAGGTGTGTTAACACCAAGGACCCGATTCAGGGCATTAGCTGAGGTTGAAACACAACCTGATGGAAACGCCCTTCGAAGAGCCATACACGCTGTCTCCCTGCAGCCTGACCGCAGCCCTTCCTGGGAAACCTGAGTGCACAGCTCTGCTGGACATCTCCCCGCAGGTCCCCACCCCATTCAGTGGATGGCCCCTGGGAAGTGCAGGAGGTAACCCAGGCCCTTCAAACTAGCCGGCAAACTCGAAAACTAAAAGCACCAGTGTCCGGGCTTGATCAGAAAAGGATCTGTTCAGGAAGGAAGTATTTGAGCAAGACTTGTTTATGAGATTTGTAGGATTGAGCCATTTAGAAAAGTGATGATTTCAGAAGCTTTGAGGAACTATATCCAAATTCTGATACGCAGTTCATTTCTTAACATGGCGGCTAAGGGCCCTTGGTGGCTTTGAAACGGTAACCAGTGATGAGTGAAACTAGAGAACAATAATGTGAAGCTCTATCCCTTACGCAGGAGTTCTTAGCACAGCATCCAGATCACTTGGCCAGATGCTGAGAGTTTGAAAATTTTCTGCAGAAATAAAGCCCTTCGCTGCTGGATAACACTCTTACATTAGGAGTGAGCCCATGCTGCCGGGCAGCAGGTCTACTTCGGACCAAGACTTTTTTTTTTTTAAATATTTACTTTCTTTTATCAGAAAGACAGAGTTAAAGAGAAATCCTTCACCTACTGGTTGACTCCCCAAAAAGCCACAACAGCAGGAGCTGAGCTCAGCTAATCCTGTGCCAGGAGCCTGGAGCTTCCTCTAGGTCTCCCACATGGGTGCAGGGTCCCAAGGACTTGAGCCATTCTCCACTACTTTTCCAGGCCACGGCAAGGAGCTGGAGGAGCAATGGAGCAACTGGGACATGAACCGGCTCCCGTATGGGATGCTGGCACTTGGAGGTGGAGGATCAGCAGTTGAGCCATTGAACCAGCACCTAGTCTTTTTTTTTTTTCTTTTTAAATACAAGCAGATGCCAAGGGTTTTTGGTTTTTGCTTTTTTGGGGCCAGGATGAGGGAAGAGGAGTGTTGTTTTTATTTTGTTTTTTAGCGCAAAAGTTCTTGAATGTCTCAGACCTTGCTTAAGGTTACTGAGCCTGCTGTGTTCCACACAAGGTGTGCTAGGCAAACAGTGTTTCTGTGGGGTAGAGTACCCAGACCCAAGAAGAGAGTTGCCTGAAGCAGTGTTAACTCAGACAGTTAATTCTATAGTATTTGCTTACAGAAAGTACCATGTGATCCAGAGACTATTGATGCCAGAAATAAGAATGCCTAGGTTTGATACTGAACCATGATTGTTCTCTCTGGTTTACTTATCTGTCCCATTTTTGTTGTTTTTGGGTTTTTTTGTTTTTGTTTTTTTTTAGCAGGTTCAGGCAACACCTCCTCAACCCATCAAAGTCCCACAGTTTATACCCCCTCCTAGACTCACTCCACGTCCAAACTTTCTTCCACAGGTGAGTAAACCAGTGACAAGCCCAGTGATGGGTCATGTGGAACAAAAACCTTCCTGGCCCTTTTTAAGCAGCATGCAGAGGGGCTGTCAGCACAGCTGAATGCATGTCCTAGCCATGTCCTAGCCATGCCCTAGCCATGTCCTAGCCGTGTCCTAGTCGTGCCCTAGCCGTGCCCTAGCCGTGCCCTAGCCATGCCCTAGCCATGCCCTAGCCGTGTCCTAGCTGTGCCCTAGCCATGCCCTAGCCATGCCCTAGCCTTGCCCTAGCCGTGTTCTAGCCATGTCCTAGCCATACCCTAGCCGTATCCTAGCCATGCCCTAGCCATGTCCTAGCCATGCCCTAGCTATGTACTAGCCGTGCCCTAGCCATGTCCTAGCCGTGCCCTAGCCGTGCCCTAGCCATGCCCTAGCCATGTCCTAGCCGTGCCCTAGCCATGCCCTAGCCGTGCCCTAGCCGTATCCTAGCCATGCCCTAGCCATGCCCTAGCCATGCCCTAGCCGTGCCCTTGCCGTGCTGCGTTCGCAGCCATTTGTTCTGACTGCTGCTCTCTCTGCCATTCAGTAGCTTGTTTTGTGGGTGTGATCTATTAGCAATGACCAAAGGGAGTGGCAGGGAGAAAAAAAAGGAAAAATAAAATTTCCTAAATATAAAACAATTATAGATAACACCATTATGAACGTTATGGTAACTTACTGCCTGGTAATGGGGGAAATATTCAATTACTATTTTAAAATTTATTTCCCATAAGCAAAAAAAAACAGGGAAAGAAATAAGCCAAACTTACCAGTAGATACCATTTCATCCCAATCTGGAAAGTGATGCTGTTGAGCCTCATACCTCAGCTGTAAAACCTTGACATAAAGGTTTAGGTCTGCCTGTTCACACTGTCCTGGGTGTGCTTCTCCTGCGTCTGGAAGGCCCCTCCACCTTCTCAAGGTTAAATATATGAGTTCAGGGGTTTTAACTTGGCAGGAAGGATGTAAGTCCCCTCTGAGACCCCAAGTTTTGGGCAAAGAGAAAAAATAAAGGAGTTACATGCAAGGTGGTACAATTTCTGCAAAGCCTCTGGGAAGGGAGGGTTGGGTAATGCTAAAATGAGATAAGATGAATTCTGTCACCTATCAGATAAATCCTTAATAAATGCCTTGGGCAGCAAACTCTGTCCTGGGCACTGTGGCTAGGCCAGTATTCAAGACAGGCAGTTGTCTGCCACAGAGCCTCAGGCACATACAGGTGCCAATTATGGGAAGGACAGAGTCATCAGAGCCTATGGGAGGCACCTCCAGCCTGTTTTCCACAGTGTTAGAGAAAGTTTCTATAAGATTTCCTTGGGCCCTGGCGCGATAGCGTAGTGGTTCAAGATTTCCTTAAAGGGGTGACATGCAGTCTGAGACTAGAATTTTACCAGAGTTGTCCTGACAAAGTTTGGTAGAAGAATAAAAATGTCCCCGGCAGAAGGTGGAGCATGCGTGCATGTTGGAGAGATGCATGTGAATGTCAGGAACCAAGAGATTTGCTGTGTGAGCTCAGAGGGCTGGGTGGCTGGAGCTGAAGCCCAGCAGAACACTGCTCCAGAGCCTGTGGGCCCTTTGTTGTCAGCAGGAACTGGGCTTTCTTCCTATGAGTAGGGGTACCTGTTAAACTAGAATTTCCAAGTCTTTAATGTGATATTTATGCCTCACACAATCCCTCCTGTCTGTGTATAGAAGAGATTGAAGATGACCAAGACTGTGGGCAGAAAGAACAGTTAGAACATTGTCATAATGGAAACAGCCAGTGTGTGGAGAATCTTGCTGTATACCAGGCCCCATGCTGGCTACTTTATGTGGGCTACTTATTTGAATCCTCAGCCATAGTAGGTATTACTTAGCTAAGGGGTCTAAGGCTCATTAGGCCAGATTTTTCAAACAAGGGATTGCAAACCATTAGTTGGCTAGCAAACCAATTCACTGGATTGTAACCAAGAGTTTTAAGTAAAATGAGTAGAACTGATTAGGAAATATTAGCAAGCTGCTGTGTCCTCTATTTCAGGCAGTTTTGCTTTATAGATGTATACATGTCTGCCTGTGTATACCAACTACAGTATAAAATGAATATCCTACTGTAGGTCAGTAATAGCTACCACCAAGTTTGTTATGAATCCAGCTAAACTTTCAGACTCAACTGTCCCAGGCCATGCTTGGCATGAGGTAGAGCAGCATGTCAGCAAGATGGCATCATACGTCTTTCTTCAGTGGGAGTTCCTATAGCAGCCCATTCAGCAGTCCCTGGAGCTGCGCAGGAAGAGTTTAATTACAAGAAAATTAGACAGTGGGAAAGAGAGCCCCACATAGAAACATTCCCTACAGGAGCCAGAATATCCTGTTGCGGTTCCCTAAGTATGGCTTTCAAGGTCTCCACATTGGACCTAGCCAGGTTACCATCATCCCACTCACAGAAGGCTAAAGCACCAAGTCCCGTCAATGGAACAGTTCCCTCCCTGTGAACTGGTATGTTGAGTACTAGCATGAATCCTGTTGCCTAGTAACATTGTTGACATGCCTACCATTATTGGGTTTCTAGAACAGAACCAGAGAGTGAACTGTAGCTTCGATTCTCATGCATAAGGCAAAACGCGGTTATCTGTAGGGTCAGTGTTTAAAAATTTGTGATACAGGCGTCAAAAGATCAGGTGTGTTGTCTAGGGTTACAAAGCTAGCCAACTGATAGAACCATGATTTGTACCTAGGCAAGGCTGCCTCCATGTTTTTAACACCATTTTTTCCCCCCAAGTCTTCTTTTGGTAAACCAAATGTAAGCTAGGGTAGTTGCAGTGAGGATAAAAAGAAGTCAGGGATTTGGGAAGTATTTAGGAAGTAGGGTTGGAGGAATAAGAAGCATCAGGTTTTATTCTAAAGCCTGTTATTTACTAAGGTGATTTTAGGATGAAGCAGCAGAAGGGGGCCCTTCCACCCATGTGGGAGAGCCCGCAGAAGCTCCTGGCTCCTAGCTTCAGCCTAGCCAGGCAAACCCTGGCCATAGCAGCCAGCCATAAAGGGTGTGGGCCAAAAGTTCGTTCTCTCTCTCTCAATCTTTCTCCCTCCCTCCCGCCCTCCCTCCTTCTCCCTCCCTCCTTCTTTCCCTTCCTTCCTCTCCCTAGCCCTTTAAAATAAATAAATAACTCTTTTAAGAAACCAAGAGTTTGAGGGCCCAAAACGGGGGAGGGATGACCTGAAGTTGTGCATGTAAAGAAACTACGCTCATTGGTGACTTTCTTGCCTCTCTGGGCATAGGTTCTAGCAGAACTGTTCTCTGGTTCCCTCCTTGGAGCTCAGGGAGCTCAGACTACAGAGCTAGCATGGTACGCAAGAGAGAGCTGAGGGCTTAGAACAGAAGCCCTGTGTGGGTCTTCGTAAGAGCCGATAGGTCCTTTTTAAGATTTGAGATTTATAGAATTAATAATATCAAGATAAATATTAATAAATATTTGCATCAAATAGATTGATGTTTTAGATTCATAGGACTTAAGAAGCTTCTTTAAATAATAGAGTAATTTTGTTTCTTTCCTTCACAGGTTCGACCCAAGCCTGTGGCCCAGAACAACATTCCTATTGCCCCAGCACCTCCTCCCATGCTGGCTGCTCCTCAGCTTATCCAGAGGCCCGTCATGCTGACCAAGTTCACCCCCACCACCCTCCCCGCATCCCAGAATTCCATCCACCCCGTCCGTGTTGTCAATGGACAAACCGCAACCATAGCCAAAACGTTCCCCATGGCCCAGCTCACCAGCATTGTGATAGCTACTCCAGGGACCAGACTCGCTGGACCGCAAACTGTACAGCTAAGCAAGCCAAGCCTTGAAAAACAGGTACGGACGTGGGTGTGTGCCTGGCCTGGGCAGTAGCTGGGCCATTCAAGTGTTTGTGTCTGGGATGTGTCTAAATATGTCTCCTCAAGGGCCCTTCCTCTCAGCACCCTTATTGAACACCTGCTGATCATCCAGTGATAGTTTGTTTACCAATCAATGCCAGGGCCGCTCTTGTCCAACGAAGTTGACTGAATCTCTTCCCCTCTTATAGGTGGCTTCAGATTCTTGTGTGAGTGGGCTCCCCCTGCTGGTTCTGATGCAGAAGTTCATGGAAGGGCTCTGTGGCCCCGGGTCAACAGAAACAGCCACATTAGTTTCAGCCCAGATGAAGATATGACTGAATAAGGAATCAGGGGAAGGGATTTTATGTAAGGCACTTATCTTAATTATTATGGATAATGAGCCAAACAAAAAAATTTCAAAAAGGTTTTCTAAAATTCTAGAGCAAAGCAGGGATGGTGAAACTTTTTTCTGCCAAGGGCCATTTGGAAATTTATATCATCATTTGCAGCCCATACACAATTATCAACTTAAAAATTAGCCTGCTGTAGATTTCTTGCTGAATCCTGCCTCTGGTTGGCTTGGCAAGGCCAGTGATTTCACAGGCCTTACACAGCACATGGCCTAGACATTCTCCATCTCTACTCCACAGCATCAAGCCGCCTCAGCTGAAATGCTGAAAGTGTCATTTAAATTTTCTAAAGTCAGAATTTCTCTTTTAAACATGAGGTTGGAGGCAGGCCTGGTGGCACAGCAGGTCAAGCCACAGCTAGAAGGCCCGCAGCCTGTGTCAGAGTGCTGCTCGCAGTGCCTGCTGCTCTGCTGCTCCTCTGACTTCCCGATCATGCGTCCTGGGAGGGATGGCTCAAGTACTTGGGCCCCTGTTCTCTTGGTGGGAGATCTGTGTAGTTCCTGGCTCCTGGCTCCTGGCTTCAGCTTAACCCAGTCCTGGCTGTTGGAAAGTGAACCAGTTGATGTAAGCTGTCGGGCTCGCTCCTGCTTGCTTTCTCACTCCCTTGTTCTTTCAAGTAGATGGAAGTGAATACACTTATTTAGCAGAAAGTTAAACTTGTAACTGTTACTAAGGAATTACAGTACTGTGATTGTATAGGGGAAACAGTGAGAGGGGGAAGTAGGGGCAAGGAGGAATCCATACACGTATAAAATTATGCCATGGAAAATAATAAAAATATATAATTTTTAAAATTTAAATTAGGCCACAGTGGAATTCAGGTGACCTCTAAACATTCTTAAAGCTCCTGTGGCAGAAAAACCCCTAAAAACATGAAAAAGGGTTTCTAGGCAATCAGCTCAACTGAATCCTATTTGAAGACAGCCCAGTGATGAGAAAGAAGAGCGTTGAAAGCAAGCCACGCTCTTGCAGGAAACTGCTGGCCGCAGTTGCTGTCCTGTGTCCCACCCGGCAGACTGGGCTTTTCCCTCGTTGGACAGTGGGGACCCTGAGCCTGCGTCTCCGCCCAGGTGCTGGAGAGTGAGGACTTCCCTGCTGCCCAGAGAGGCCGGGAGCAGCGAGCACTGCGCCCCTCCCTGGGCAGCTCCGCAAGCAGCAAACCTTACCCGCAGAGCAGCTTCGAGGCCTGCTGCCCAGGGTTCCCCGGGAGAGGGAGCCTGCCCCACGCCCAAGGGGCTTCCGGGGACACGCTGGGAGAGTATCCGCCTATGTCTTCTGCTTCCTGGCAGCAGGACTGCAGTACTGAAATACAGTGGGTCAGGCGCATAACTGCACAAGTGTGAACAGCGATGGATTTGGAGACCGCCTGCCTGGTGCCCTGCGCTGGCTCCCCAGGGCACTGACGAGCCCTGTCTTTGTGTTGAAATAACTTTTCATGGCACAAACTTAGATTTCTAAAAATTATTTCTCTTTGGCTTCTTCTTGTATAATTTTACCCCCAAGTTTGTTGCTTTTAACAGTTTCTGTTCGTCCTGAAGTTTTTTCTGAACATGCTCACACATTTTTAAAGAGAAAAAAAATCAGGAGCCTGACGCGATAGCTTAGATGGCTAATCCTCTACCTCCAAGTGCCAGGATCTCATGTGGATACCAGTTCATGTCCCAGCTGCTCTGCTTCCCATCCCAGCTCCCTGCTTGTGGCCTGGGAAAGCAGTGAAAGATGGCCCAAAGCCTTGGGACCCTGCACTCATATGGGAGACCTAGAAGAAGCTCCTGGCTCCTGGTTTTGGATCAGCTCAGCTTCAGCTATTGTGGCCACTTGAGGAATGAATCAATAGATGACAGATCTTTCTTTCTGTGTCTCCTTCTCTCTGTAAATCTGCCTTTCCAATAAAAACATTTTTTTTTAATTCTTTATTCAAAAGCAACTTTGACAGAGGAATTGGGGCCAGTGTAGCAGTATAGCAGGCTAATTCTCTGTCTGCAGCACTGATATTCTATATGGGTACTGGTTCGTGTTCCAGCTGCTCCACTTCCCAGTCCCACTCCATACTTATGGCCTGGGAAAGCAGTGGAGGATGGTCAAATCCTTAGAGATTTGCACCCACATGGAAGACCCAGGGGAATCTCCTGGCTCCCAGCTTTGGACTGGCACAGCTCCTGCCATGGGGTCATTTGGGGAGTGAACCAGCAGATGGAAGATCTTTGTCTGTCTCTCCCTGCCTCTCTCTGTAACTGGCTTTTCAAGTTAAAATAAGTCATGAAAAAAGAATAAAAAGAGGAGAGAATCTAGCAATGTATAATTTAGTAACTTGCTCTTTTTCCACTTAATAGATGTTGAGCATCTTTTCATGTCCTGGACTTACATGTTCATGGAGCTTTTAATTTTAAGTATAGCATTAAAAGATATTCGTGCTGATTAAGAATGTAAAAAAGAAATTGAAGAGGAAAATTTCATGGTCTCTCTTGTTTATGCTTTAATAGGGGAATTCAGTCATTGCTATTTCAGTTTAACAAACCAGTTGGCATAACAGTCTGCCACATTAGTGAGCCCAGTCAGCACAGTCTCTAGACTACATTTCATTCTCAGAATTCTCTTACTTGAGTTCTTTCTACTCCTTGTTCCCTGTTTTATGCTCCATTTCCAGGATCACATGTGTAGCTGTTAAGCCGTCTCAAAGATGGGCCAAGAAGGAAGCAATATAAATAGCCATGGAAGTTTCACTTCGAGTCTCTCTGTAGAATCATCAAGCCTGTGTCCGACATTCTGTGTGCAATGGGCTCCTTTATGATCTCTGCTCTGTCTTTTACGGCAATAACATCATTGATTTAATAATAAGAAAAAGTGTTAAGCGCCAGCTGCTGTTCCCCACGTGGTGTCTGCATACAGGGGTGGGTCCCCCCATTTGCTGCGCGGAGCTGGCTGTGCAGCACCAGGCGTGAGCACCCATGTGGCACCCATCAGGCTCTGCCGCAGAGGAGGAAGCGCAGCACCTTGTAAGGGCCTGTGGAGTGTGGCCTTCCCCACAGGGGAGGACCAAGGTGGTACCCGGGACCACACCCACCTGGCCTCATTCTGTAGGAAAAGCCACATTCCACTGTGGCTCTGATAAGCAGGTGGTGGTGCTCAGAGCACAGCAGCCCAAGGCATGTTTCCGACTGGAAAGTAGACGCAAGCATGGAAGCAGACCAGCGTGTTCCATCTCTCACCGCTTCCCTGACCTTCTCCATCTACTTGCTATGGCTTAACTCCACCACACTGTGCCTGCTGCCAGTGACGCTACACTGTCTACACCCTGCTGCAGGCATCTCATGTATGTCCCCAAGCCTGAAATACTGGGATGGAGTCGGGGACAAGGTGCTACAGGAAGACGGTCAGGTGGCCATCCTGGCCCCTGCTTCCATGTATATGATTTTCATAGGAAGCAGGACACATCCCCTGCAAAAAAACAATGCTTACAAGTTGAGACCATCATCCAACGCATGAGCAGGTTTGAGTCACCTCTTCGTGTGACTTGAGGACTTCCCTCAGGCTGCTTTAACACTGATGCCACAGTAAGGAAAACAGATCCAAGTGACCAAACCAGATTTTGCTTTGCCCTTAATCCCAGTTTACTTAACTTGGTTTCATTTACCGTGCAATTATTTGCATGTGCGTTTTTTTTTTTTACATGCAGCCAGATCTCAGCTGGTAAATTTGAAATCCAGGATGTATAGTTAAATTTAACTCTATACTTATCTATGATATTCAGGTTATTTTTAAGTTTATTTTTACCAGAAAGTCAGATATACAGAGAGGAGGAGAGACAGAGAGAAAGATCTTGTGTCCGCTGATTCACTCCCCCAAGTGGCCACAAAGCCCAGGGCTGAGCCAGTCAGAAGCCAGGAGCCTCCTTCAGGTCTGCCATGCGAGTGTAGAGTCCCAGGGCTTTGGGTCATCCTCCACTGCTTTCCCAGGGCACAAGCTGGGAGCTAGATGGAAAGGGGGGCAACTGGAATACAAACTGGTGCCCATATGGGATCCCAGCGATGACTTTTTAGCCCACTGGGCCATCGTGCTGGACCCAATATTTAGGTTATTATCTTTTGTGATACTAAAAAGAAAAAAAGCACTCCAGGACTTAGCAAATACAAGTAGCCATGAATGTGAAGCAAGCATAAGCTGCCCAGGAACAAACAAGGAGACTTTTATTTTCTTGCTTTCAGTGGGAATCTGAATGTAAGAGAAAGCACTTTTTTATTCCTAGTTCCTCTGTAACATAGTAAGGGAGACAAGCGTACTAGTATTTGGCAATTGAAAGTGGAAGACTGATAAACTGCAATGGGATATGTTCCATCCCAAGGAAGCAGCTGCCTCTTGGCAGTGACCAGTTGTTACCATAGAGAGACTTTTCTGAGAGAAGTCCCAAATTTGTGTGTTTTGAAAAGATGCCTAGTTTTAAAAACACTGTACAGGCAAAGGAAAGGAAAAAAAAAAAAAAAACAAACATCTGCAGGGCAGCTTCAACTTTGAAATAAGACATTCTAATTCTGTTAGCAACCAAACTTTATAATTAGTCTTTTTTGTTTTCTAATCTCATTTCTTAAAA